AATGGGTTTTTAAACATTCTAAAAGTTAATTTGGTTGAGCTGCAATTCTCTGAGAGGGGATAAAAATAGTTTGCATTCATAAATCATTAGCACTTGATCCCAAGCACTGTTCATCAAACTTTGAGTTAATGAAATTTTAATAATTATAATCAAAGAAGCCGCTCTTTCTGTGTTTATGCTTCACTATACTTTTATGCAACTGACTATTCTGAAAAAAAAATAATTGTATCAACAAAAATCTATTTCACAGTCAGTTATGGTTATTTCAAATTTAAAGATCTGTATTTTAAACCCCAAAATGTTTACAAAAGTATCACTTGAAAGCTAAAAACAATATTAATACAAAATCCTATGAATACAGAAGATTTTTTTATATAAGATAGGGAAGTGGTGGCGAACCTATGGCACGCGTGCCAGAGGCGGCACTCAGAGCCCTCTCTGTGGGCACATGCGCCATGCCCCGGAGATGGCAACCGTCCCTCTTCAAGCAGCCGCCCGCTAACTCGCCAAGGTCCCACGTGGCCCCTCCCCCCTGTCCCGTCCCTCCTGGCCTCGAATGCTCTCCTTTTCCCAGGCATGAACCACTGCATCTCTTCCTCAGCTGTCGGCCGGCCATCGAGCTCAGAGGCGGTTTCTCTGAACTGCTGACAGTGGGCTACGGAGCCCCAGAGTGCACCGGTCGAGGGGCCAGTAGGCTGTGGCTGCTGATAGACACCGTCACCCCCCATGCGCTCGCTGGCCTCTGTGTGCGGTTGTCAATGGTGTCAGACAGCAGCCACCCTGGCCCCCGCCTCGCCGCATAGCAATAGCAGCCCCACCCTGCCTCGCCTCCCCTCACCCCGCAGGACGAGCCTCCTGCCCACCGTCCCACCCACCAGTGACCCCCTGGATCTCCCCCAACCCTGTCCGGCCCCCACAGGAGTCCCTGCCCACGAGCAACATCGAGGTGACCATGCCTACCTTGGCCACGCCCACCCATTCTGCCATGACCACCACAGCCACGCCCACCCAGTGGGCCACGCCCACCTGGCACCCGGCCATAAATAAGTGGGTTGGGTTTGCAGTTTGGGCACTTGGTCTCTAAAAGGTTCGCCATCACTGAGATAGGGTGACTCTGTTAATTACTTACCCTAGAAAATCGAAGTCAATAGTGGAGTATTTGGCTTGAATTAGGGCCCACAATCCCCAGAAGAAGTGAGAAGCCTGCAATGGAAGACAAATAAATCCTGATCAGTGAAACTAGTCAGAAGGGTCTTGTTTTCAGAGACTACTTAGAAAAAGCAATGCAAGAATAATGAATGCTCAAAGTTATGATGTTAATATTGCATTCCATAGTATTTGAGTTTACGATGATTTGAGTTTATGGCAATTTTGGCCAACAAACTTCTAAGGCCAAGATTTATAACAGTCTTCCCCAACCTAAAATTCTGAAGGCTCCAATTGTACTATACTTTCGTTTCCTTTGAAGAAGGATTTAAGACTTCTACAAAGAAAAAAATACAGTTAATATATAATTTAATGTTAAAAAACACATCTATTCTATTCCTCTATATTTTGACATGAACAGCTTCTAGTGTAATTTTCAATATCAAGCCACAATTTAACAGATACGGTTAATGAGTTTTAAACACAATAATGAAAATAATTCTGTAAACTTAAAACTGAAGAGGTATATTTCCATTAGTATGCATAAATATTAAGGTTGCAATATCTATGTTTTGAAAGATACCAAATCTCCCTTATTTACACAGATGATGTATTTGTTTTTACCACTTTATTTTATAGTTGCTTGATAACAGTTCCTGTTTTTTCTATATTACCCTATCATGTGATACCTCATAAACATCAACAACAACAACATTTCTCTAAATTTGTTCACATGTGACTTGCAAATTAGACCTCCTGCATTAATAATCTGAAGTGGTAACATGGCACATATTAAGACAATATTATAATAATCCATTCAGTTATGAAGTAAGGGCTTTACACATACTATACTAAATAATCCTATTCAATTCTACACTCTAACCCGACAGCTCTTATAAAATTTGTAGTTCAAAATAAAATTTAAAAACAATTGAAATCAAATCAAACACACACACACACATATGTACGTATTAAGCTTATGTAGCCAATAAGCTGTTTTTATGGGAAATATTTTTAGCCAAGCAATTTATTTTATTTATTTATTTATTTATTTATT